CTAAACTTTGGCCGCGAGATAAGGCTGCCTGGTTCATTCAATCCAGAAGTAGTGTCAGACGAGGACCCCACGCCTGCAGGTAGCGACCGATTTGAGGTAATTAAATCTATTCACTTTCGTGTAAGGAGCAATTTAAAGAAAGCTTACGACAAACAATCTCACTATTATAATCTGAGGCATAGACCGAACTCATTTAAGGTAGGACAACAAGTGTTGTGTTGCAAACATGAACTGTCCGATGCTTCAAAAGGTTTTGCGGCTAAACTAGCTCCAAAGTTTGAAGGACCATTTACTGTTTTACGCCCAGAGGGGCCAACATCTTCATTTTATCAACTGACGGTGGTTTAATTCCCCAAGCACACGTAAAGGATCTAAAACCCTACCTGGTCTAACCCTGCTGTCTTCCCCAATCCCATTTTAACTAGGATGTCTGCCTAGAAATTTAGAATGTTGTAGTTTTATTTTATTTGGGTTTTCAACTGCTTACACTTTGCTTGGCTTTCAGGTACCATGGAGAAACTAACGACGGAAGACTACAATATAATCAAGTTCAGGAAATGTTTAAACGACAAAATTGTCAACAGCTTCATGCAAACTCTGGAAAAACCGTCCAAAACAGGGAAGAAAATAATGGCGTTCCCATCGTTTTTCTTTACGTCATGGGACCGCAACAACAGCGGATACGAGGGGGTAAAACGGTGGGCAAAAGGTAACCCCCTGGACAAAGATTTTGTCCTATTTACCTTGTTCATGCCACCCCAACCACCGGCTACTATAGGACATTGGGCCCTGATTGTCGCCAGACCAAAAAAATGCGACATCACGTCCTTTGATAGCCTGGGCATGGAGCACACTGCACGAATGGAACAAGTTAAGGATTACTTTCTTAAAGAAAGCGCAAGCCGCAAAAAAAAAATAAACAAAGAGTTTTCCAGATTGAACATGCTAAAAGTCTGCCCACAACAGAGCAATGATAGTGACTGCGGGGTATACATTTGCATGTTTGCCGATGTACTAACCCATGAGAGACCACTAACTACCTTACGAGGAATGACATCGGACGAAATGAGAAAACACATCGAAAGAAGACTGAAGTGGGCGTCTCAACCTTTGGACCCGAAGAATAAAAACCCCGATAAGAAACCATCTGTCTTAGCCAGCAAAATTGCGACCCAAAACTTACAGGGAAACCACAGCCAAAGAAAGCTCCGAACCAAGTAAGTGTTAACAAAACTACAACCTAGAATGATTTCTCCAGGAAAAGAGATAAAAAGCAACCGGGAGGGGTACTACCTAACCCATCAAGAGAAGACAAAGTTTATACAACCCCAGGACTTTTTGGAGATCGTTTTGAGCCCTCAAGAAAGGGAATCTGCTGAGGCCCCTGACCCGTTATTAGAAGAGTTAAGAGAGTTTATAGACTCCGGGAAAACGATAGTCAGCCCATTCCCACATTCCCCTAAGCAAAATTCTGTCCTTGATAGTCTGGCTAAAATGAAGCTTAGCCCTTTGAAGAAGGAAGATACAGAAATGCCTCAGTCACTTGGAAGCACGTCGGATACCAACGAACAACCGATGGAAGTCGAAGCCACGACAAAACATACTCTGCGACTACACAAATGGAAGACCCCCAACTCAAGCTGCAAAGACCGGCACACAAAAGAAGAGGAGCAAATACGAAGAGGAAAAGAGTCTTTCTTCCGGACGGAACCTATGTCAGACTGAACAAAAGGAAAATTGAAAATTTCGACTCCTACTATCCTGGCCTGGACATTGCCACTTTGGCGAAGATGAGGAAAAATGAATAAAAGTTACTATTGTAGATTTAATATGTTTTTATATTTTTCTGTGATAGTTTCGTGATATTTTATTTTATTTTTCTCAAGTTTGAATAATCATGTGTTGATTTTAAAATGTTTTCAAGTCATCCAGCAGCAATTCATCCAGTGTACGAGTGCTAGAAGAGGTGATCTAAATGTTGCATCATAAGTGCAACTGGCAATAGTCTTCCACCAGCCATGGTGTTTCCCAGGACAAAACTTCAAGGAACACATGATAAATGGGGCACCTCCTGGTACATTAGGATTAGCCTCAGCTACAGGGTGGATGTATGGTGATCTATTTGTAGATGTCATGAAACATTTTATCAAGCATAGTGGTTCTTCCAAAGATAACCCTACAATCTTGATCATATAACCATGAAAGCCATTTGACAATACAATCCCTCAATCTGGCAAAAGACAACGAGAGAATGGGAATTGGGCCATGATCGAGGTCTAAAGGCCGGTTTTTTGTTGATGACACACTAGGACACCCGGTCGCTTATCAACCGGCGACCTGGTTGACGAGCGACCAAATTGCACAAATGTCACTGTGTGTGTGTGTTGTTCTGTCAATTTGATTGACGGCGATTTGTAGGTTGCCAGGCAACATGTTGGTTTTTTTCGAACATGTCTCAAAAACCTGGGGGTTTCCAATCAACCATTTTATTGCCGGGCAATCAGATTTCTCCAAAAAACTAGAGTGTGTACGGTTCAGCGACTAAGTTGATCAACTAAAGACGGCATGCGCATGGGCAATACAACAAAAAATGAACTGACGAAACAAAACCATGCTAAAATCTCAATCTGGCGTCCTTTTTTCCTATGTGAGGTGTCACGGGCGTCACTGGTTGCTTAGTATGACGGAAACTGTCATCTGACATCTGTAAATAGTTCTTAAAATCCTGAGGATTTTCAAGTAGCAAAGCTCGTAGTAGTGCTATGTGGCTGTAACTATTTCTACGTTAAAGCCACCCTTTAACCCAAAATCTTCTAAACAATTTCTTTCTTCTTCTCTACTTCCCACAATTTTAAATATAATCAAAACTTCGGCAGCTATTTCCTCTTTGTCGGGGGCATGGTGTTGTCACTTAGGTACACACTTAGATAGGCTTAAGGGTGAACCAGAACAAAACGCATTGTCTATCCCCACCAAATTTTGATTGATTTCCAGCTTGGTTGAAAGTGCTAGGTATATCCTAGTCTGTATCCCTCAGCAATAAAACGTTCAATCATAAACTTAGTCGCTCGTCAACCAGATTGCCGGTTGATAAACGACCGGGTGTCCTAGTGTGTACCGGCCTTAACTCCTTCAAACATCAAATCTGGTTTTAAGGCAACAGGAATTTTTCAATTCGACAATAAGATATTTACAGATAACGACTTCCTTTGCAGCTACGTAACGGATAAAACAATATCGCCTTCACAACAGTCACCACTAGCTGCGCAAGGTCCAATTACTGATCCAACAATCTTTTTTATTTCCACCCCTTCAACCAGCACAGCAGGCAAAGAGAGACCTACTGACAATAGTCAGCTCAATAGAAGTGAAAGTGGCGAAGAACTTGATGGTATCGGCCCAATTGAAGGCAGTAAGAAAATTAAGATAATAATTTTCTAGATTTCATTAAAAAACTAGACCGATCACCAGTTGTTGATGATTTTGTGTTGATAAAGTTTAGACCAAAAGACGAGCTAACACGCAATGTTTTTTATGTTGCAAAAGTGTTGAAACCTGAAGACTTTACTGGAGAAGTAGAAGTGAGTTTTTTTGCGAAAAAAACCCTAAGTTTGAATGGTCATTTACTTTTCCAAATGTCATGTGGAAAGTGAAAAGGGACCTCTTGTCAGAGATGCAAAATTTTCAGTACGGCCGATATAAGTAATTAAGGTCGAAAATATTATGAGTTTCGGGTTTTTATTGATTATTATACCTCATTTAACATAGAACATGACAGTATCGGTTAAAATCTCGGATTGAAGATGCAAGGTCTAAATAAATCATTTGGTTAGCCTCCGCTTGGTCTGTCTCTTGTCTCTTTTCTTTGTCTCTTGTTGCTCAATGTTATTTCGCCATAAAGACAAGAGGTCCCATTTCTAATATTCACTTTTTAAACAGATTTTAGTCCAAAAAATGAATTGCCCTGCATTCTAGTGGAAATTTAGAGAACTACAACAAAGTTCATTTCACGAAGGACAAAATATTTCACAAAATTTGCGGTCCCAACAAGAGGTACATTTTCTTATCTTATGGCGAAATAACATAGGGCCGACAAGAGGTCCCTTTTCTGAAATGCGATTTTTACGACATGCTTCAATAAAATAATTATTTAAATGAAAACTACCGTGAGTTAAGAGGAAAAATTGCATTTCTTTCAAAGAGGACATCATAAGCTTTCTTTTGATACCAAAATCGTTTCTTAGATACAAAAAACACTGTTTTTATGCATATTTGAAATTTTCAAAACAGTTTTTCTCAAAATGATCCTTTTCCATAACAAAATTTCAAAGTCCTATAACTCTAACAAAAAAGATCATACATGCGTGGGACTTGCACCAATCGATTCAAAATTTAATAAGAATTCAAATATATATTTAACTCAACATCGAAAATTCCCGACAAGAGGTCCCTATTCGCTTTCCACATCACAAATGTTGCTGACGTCGCTCTTGTTAAAATGAGTGACATTAAGATGATATTGCCTGTACCTTCTGAGACTGGGTCAACAAAGAGACTTAAGTCATTTTTTAAGTTTGAAGTAAATTTTGACTTGCTTACTATTAACTAATTACAAGTAGAAGAATTTGACACTGTTAGGTTTTAAAAGTGTGTACCATTACAGGTTAGTAAAAGTTTCTTTGTACAGTATTTTTGCTTTTTAATTCGTTGTTCCACTGTGGCCCGTATCATGTTCGTTCCACTGTGGCCCAATATAGGCACCTACATAGGTTTTGTAAAACGGTTCATAAAAGTTAATATTTATTTAATTATCAGTTTTAATATATGTTAAATATATGCAGGATAGGTTGTTCCCTAAGTACATTTATCTTCTGAAGCTGTAAAGCAAACAGGTAAAAAAAACAAAAATTGTTTTTTGATTTTTGTTCCATTGTGGCCCACCCTCCCCTACCATATTTATAAATTAAGTAAAAATAAACTAAATCAGCAACAGTACTTACTCTTGTTTCTGGGGCATATTTGTGATTGGAATGTGGGGTTTCCTTACACCAATGGATATATAAAACTTGGCTCTGAATCGTGGTTCGTCAAAGCAAGGGAAAACACCATGAGCGCCAAAACGATTCTTTTTTATAGCATACGTCCTGGAAAATCGTGTTTATTATTTAGATGTTTCTCTATACAAGGTGAAATTTGTATACAGAAAGTTCGTCATGGGCTCGGTTTTTATTTAAACATATTGTTACAACTAAATTAACTGATAATACTTTAAATATTACAGCCCACACTTAGTTTGTTTTGGTACGATAACATTGTTATTGGATTATGGATTATTAACATTATAATATTGGAGATATTATGAATTTAAATTCTAAAAGCTCTAATATTTAGAGATTTTATCTTTGTTCCATATAAAAGTATCTATTATACAGAGTGTTTTTCTTTCAAACACAACCCAAATTCCAAGTACTGTGAGACATCGATCAGCTATGCGTTGTTCCATAGTTATCCATGAGGTTTAGTATTACTGTATTGGGAATTTATTGTAAACAAGACTCAACATGGTATTTCCCTCGATCAAAGAGTGAGAAGAATATGTTACTAGTAAATTATTGGTTTTATGCCAAGACAGGTTTAAAATTAAGTTTCCAGGTGTGATTCCAGTACCTAAAAAACCAACAAGGCTATTATTGACACATACAAATTTAATCAAACCAGATCCGTTGTAAACAAAGAAAAAAAACTTAGACCTACAATACATACTATATTTGAGCTTGTAAAAACACCCTGTTGTGTCTTATTTACAATAAATTTCCATTAAACAGTGTTTCATAGTACTTGTAAAATTTGAAAATTTGTAAAGTTTGAAAAAACCCCTGAATTAAGTGATAAGGTCAAATTTAGAAATTTTGTTTTAGCAAAATAAAAAAACAGGCATAGGGCACATCAAAAATTAGGATTATAGTGTTGTAGATTCGCCAAAAATGATTTGTATAATATGAACAAATTCCTTAAGGGCTCTGCCCCAAAGGCTAATTTCCTAAGAGCTTCACTTTACACATGCTTCAAAAATACAATTTAATTTTAATCTAACTTTTTGATTAAATTAAGATTGGTTCAGAAAGAAGTAAACCTATTTGTGTTTTTTTGTTGATTTTAGCTCATCGTTTGACACTATTGATGAAAGGCATTATTGTTATTGTTTAAATTGTCAAACCTGGGAATATCAACTCGTATGCTCAACAATCTGAAAAGCTATTACAGTGAGTATAGTACAAGTGTATGGTCTGGAGATGACATCACATATCACAACCAGTTTTAACACCAATACAGGTTTAAGACAGGGATGTATTCTCTCACCTACTTTATTCAGCCTATTTTTTTGTAATTGACTTGCCAGAGCAGACTTGCATATACTTATCTATGCAGATTATTCTCCTCTCTCTCCTACAAGAACTGGGCTTCAACACATGATAAGAAACCTAGAGGCCTATTGTAATATGTGGAATCTAATTTAAATCTAAACAAATAAAAACAATGGTTTTTAGAAATGGTGGCAGACAAAAATGGTGCGGGCTGTCATCTGTTATGTAGCTCAAGTCTGGGGATATATGGAAAGTGATTTTGCTGAATTTAGAGCAAAAAATGTTCATTAAATAATTATTTAAGTTGCCATTTAATACTCCAAACTATTTATTATATTTAGAAACCGTTTTTGATCAATTATTTTTCTATACTCTGCACAAATAAATTATATTTTTTTCTAGTATCTTTGCCACATAACAGGCTGACCAATATATTATCAAAACAGGTTATGTCAAAACAAACATATTATTTGGTGCAGGGAATAGGAAGATTAGCAGTGGCGGTTCCAGGACCTTGTCAAGGAGGGAGCTACCGGGCTTTTTGAAATTCATAAATGCAATCGTCATGGTTTAATTTTTTAAATGTCTACTTGCTCATGACAAAAAACTGGTGAAATGCGAGTTTATGGACGATTGGGCACAGTTTTAGGTGTTAAAAATGGATTCAGAAAGTCACCAAACGGCTTTGAAAATTCCAAATTTTCCCGGCCCCCCCCCTGCTTAATGGGGGGGGGGGTGTGGACATACATATATATACACAAATTTGAACGAATGGTGTTTTTGGCCTGTGGAGACAAAATGAAAAAGTAAATTGGTCCGGGCCTAGGTCTTACCATGCCACCTACGGTAATAGCTACTTCCCTATAGAGAAATTCACTAATATATCAAATAAGTACCCTTTTTCCCCCTTTTAGCGAATTTCCCATATAGGGAATAAGCTATTACCGTAGGTCTCATGGTAAGACCTAGACCCTGAGGTCCCCTGAGGCCAAAAACACCCTCCGTTCAAATTCATATACCGGTATATATGTCCGTTAGCGTGATAACTCTAGCAAAAGTGATCCGATTTAGATGAAATTTGGTAAAAACATGTAAACCTACATTTATGGGGTAAAAATTGATTTTTCCCATTTTTTACCCTAAAAACAAAAAATTCCATAATTTTTCTCCAAACTATTTTGTAGAGCTTAAAAAAGAAATAATTTTGTATATTGAAGCATTGTTGTATGCCCAACGGTTACAGAGATAATTTTATAAAATGGAAATTTAAAATTCCCATGTTATTCTTATGGAGAATAAATAAACTGTTGTAGTTTACTTGTTTATGGATATATTTTAACTAAATTTGGAAATTTTTTTGTTTCATACTAAGCTATCAACGTTCAATAAAAAAAAACACACCTCAATATTTTCCCTGTAGCAGCAAACCTAAGTAGGTACTCACTAAAATTAATGTTATTTAGATAGGAAATAAATGTGACAATTTTTAGGAAATATTTTAGTAGAAATCCAGCCAGGTAAATGGATATTTGCTTAGTCTGCAGATTTGCTGCGGCAGGGGTATTTTATTTAATAAAATTACACAACATGTTTTGATATTCCAACCAATCAGCTAGTGATTCAAGGGTGCAGCGGACAAGTTCTGCACTACGACGACATAGTAGTTGTGACCGCCACTAAGCGCTAACTGTTAATTCCAAACCGCTAGCACTGCGGACAAGTTCTGCACTACGACGACATAGTAGTTGTGACCGCCGCTAAACGCTAACTGTTAATTCCAAACAGCCAGCACTGCGGACAAGTTATGTACTACGACGACATAGTAGTTGTGATTACCGCTAGAGAGCACTACAAGTCGTTAAATGTGTGATTGCATAAATAAGTCCAGTAATTAAACTAATTAAGGAAAGGATTGTTATTTTGTCATACTAATAATTTAAAAAATAAATAAGAACTTAGATTCAACTTCATAGTTCTTTTTAACTACATTGTAAGTAGAACAATTTCAACTGAACAAGATAAGTTATCGCAGGTGTACCGATTAAAATTCAAATCAAACAGAAAACGCGCGAAGGCAAGGACCCAACAACGGCCAATCACGTGAGCGCGGAGTGATATCAACTTGCTGACTTGTGTGGACGTCTTTCTAACGGTCACTTGGGGACCAGGCTCTGAGCCGTGATGTTCGGAAATCTTTAAATTCTCCTTTTCAATTCGCAAAACTCACTTTTGGTAGTCGTAACGTGTATTTCGTCAACGAAATCAATTGTTCGATTTCCGGAGTGCATTGGTATTTGAACCGTGAAACTGCGTTTGCTAAATTACGAATTGATTTAAGAAATCGAGTCTTTAAGTTCGACGTCAACAGGCAAAATTTGTCAAATTTTGACCATTTTCGTGGAGTCAACCCCAAGTACAGTGTCGTAATTATATGTTTATGTGTCGTCAAAATTGTCTTCTGTGTATGTAAGTAAATGTTTTGTGTAATTTGTATTTATATCATTAGAATGAGCCAATCTGTCCACATTCATATTTGTTAGATCATGTTTCTTGCAGGTTTCATGTCCTAGAATATAATTCAGTCACATTGCTTTAAAGTTAGTGCCATTTACGTATTTTAAATATATACTGTGATACATTTGTAGGTGTTATTGGATTAATAATTTGGGTAAATTTTTATATTAATTAAATTTCATATTGTAAATTTTGTATGTAACTTCAATTATATCATTATCATCTGTCTGTCACGCAATACTGTTACAATTGTTCTTACTTAATATTTGGTTTTAAAACACTTCTAAAATACATAAAGAGATCTCTGAGAGTATTTGATTGTGTACAAATTCAGTTTTGAATTAGAGCATTGTCCCGGTTGAAGGGTAGGTTTCAATACAGGCTATAAGAATAGGCTTCCATTAACGCCATAAAAAGTCATTTTATTAACCTAAATCAAACAATCGACTCAGTAGTCGATTTGGCCCAGTTTGCCACTGAGCAACAAAGTGTGCTGTACACAGAACTACGAATAGCCCCTTTGCATAATAAGATCAACTGGCCAGTTGTTAATAAATACACTAATTTGGGAAGCCTAATAGCCTAAAAATAGATTAAATAAATCAAACCTAGGTTCCCGAGGCTCTGCTGTCAGTATTTCAGGAAAGAAAGTCAAAAACCCACAATCAATACTCTCCCCTATTCAATTGAAGTGTTAGTAGAGCAGGAACTTGAATTATTGTTGATTATTTGTAACATTTGTAAAAATTTAAAGTGACAATACACAAAGCTTATTCTTTCAACAATGTTATTAATTCTCCTGTGTTAATCTTGTCAAGGTAATCGGCTTAACCGAATAATTGCAATAAAACACAATATCAGTAAATTGTCAGTCAATATATAATTTATTACATATTGGTTCAATCAGTGTTTGGCACTATCATTTCAATAACACAGAATCATTACATATTTTAACAGAATCTCAACAAAGAGTATATTTTGCATTCAGAGTGTTTGGCATGCTTTTTATTACATCTTAAGAAGTGTTATATTTAAGATCATTGAAGGTACTTTCAGGAGGACATATCAGACCTCTCACGGTCCATAAATCGGACTTCTGGGATACACAATTACCAGGGCCCACTTAACATCTTTAATTCCACTGCACACTGCTCTGTGATTGTATGTCCTCAGTAGTTCAATTAAATTAAATTAAATTTCATTTTCAAACCCCACCAGGGGGCAACTTTTTGTTGTACTCACACCTGTATGGAATACCTAAATTG